AGTAGAGTTAGTTAAGTGCAGTGAGTGGCAGCACGCAAGGGTTCGGAGTGGACGTGGGAGCCCGAGGAGAAGATGAGGGAGCTCTACCCAGCGTTGTTTCCAGAGACAGCTGACTTCGAGGACGAAGTCTAAGATAAGTAGGGGAGAATTGTAACGCCCCGTTCCTGGTACGTATTTAATTTATTAAATGTCTTTTATAAAGAGCTACTCGGTGAGTAGTAGCCCTAACTCGTCAAGTAGATACTAGGTTGGACGCAGGTTTTAAGTGATCTACTCGGCGAGTCCGCGCATGGACTCGACGAGTTGGCCAGTCTGGAGGAAACCCTAATCCTTAGGGTTTGTACCCTATTTAAACGTCCTTATAGCCCCCATCCCAGCCTCCAGCACCCTTAAAGCGTTCCCCCTCAAAACCCTAGCCTCCATTGGTGAACTAGAGTGATTCCTTCTTGATTTGAGTGTTTTGGTGTATTCTTGGAAGGGTAGAGGTGAAGGAAAGAGAGAAGGTGCAAAGGAGAAGAAGGAGATCCAGAAGCTAGCTTCCATTTGCTACTTCATCTGGTAATAAAGCCTCTACCTTGTTCATTTTCCTAGTAGATCTTCATGTATGTTTGTTTTGCCACTTTTGGGACATTTCAAGGTCCAAACTCAAGATTGGAGCTCCCTTAGGGTAGTGAGCTATAGATCTGGACATCTTTGAGCCCCAGGAGCTCAAAGTAGCTACCTTTATGCAAAGCAAGGTCTTGTTCCAAACCCTAGGTTCCCATTTCTAGCTTATTTTGGTGTTTTAGCTTCATACCTCTATGCATGCACGTAAAGTTGGCAACTTTATGTGTTATATCGGCCCTAGAAGCTCAGATCTATGAATTGGATGCACTGAAATCGATTAGAATCAACTGGTTAGTGAGGACATGCATAGGACTCGACGAGTTGTTCTTGGACTCGGCGAGTCGGAGCGCAAATCCTCCCGATTTCTCCGATTTTGGAATTGTGAGTTGAAACAGCGAGGGGAAGAGGACTCAGTGAGTTAGAACAAGGATCTGGAAGTAGAGGGACTCGGCGAGTCGAGTCACGAGTTAGAGAAGTGTGAGTCCGGGAACTCGGCGAGTTCATAGTAGGACTCGACGAGTAGAGTCAACCAGGAAGTTGACTTTGACCAGGAAGTTGACTTTAACTAGGGGTAAAATAGTCATTTTACCCTGAGATTAGTTATCAGTATTTTGATTTAGTGTTTATGGGATTTGTAGCCGGGGAGTTCCGAGCAGCAGTCAGACAGTCTCAGATTTAGCACCTCAACAGCCAACATTACGATGTGAGTTTCCTTCCAGTAGGAACGGGTCTACGGCCACAATGCCGGCCTGTTTAGTTAGCAGTAGTTTCGGACTTCGGTCCGATGCAGTAGTTCAGTGTGCTTGATGTCTTTGTGATTCAAGCATGTCTTTGTGTTATGTGTTCCGAACTTCGGTCCGATGCAGTATGCAATATATGTGTTTATGCTAGTAGTTATGATTATGCTATGCTATGTTCAGTCAGTTTCCGGACTTCGGTCCGATGCAGAGGGCAAGGCCCTGGTTAGTTCCGGACTTCGGTCCGATGCAGTTTCCGGACTTCGGTCCGATGCAGAGGGCAAGGCCCTGGTTAGTTCCGGACTTCGGTCCGATGTAGTTTCCGGACTTCGGTCCCATGCAGAGGGCAAGGCCCTGGTTAGTTCCGGACTTCGGTTCGATGCAGTTTCCGGACTTCGGTCCGATGCAGGGGGCAAGGCCCTGGTTAGTTCCGGACTTCGGTCCGATGCAGTTCCGGACTTCGGGCCGATGCAGTTCCGGACTTCGGTCCGATGCAGTGGGCAAGGCCCAGTAGTTGCTTATATGTTATTGTATGGTATGTGGTTGTTTGGGGGAGCTCACTAAGCTTTGTGCTTACAGTTTCAGTTTTTGGTTTCAGGTACTTCCGCTAGTAAGGGGAAGAGCTCGGGATGATGGCATGGCACACACCACAGCTTCAGTTTATCCTGGGAGTTTTATTCAGACATTTTGATATGTTTTGACATCAGTTGATTCGATTAACTTATTATGACATTTTGGGACGCATGATCCATGGATTTATCTTTTAATATTTAATGTTATGGTTTAGTAATGTTTTCAAACGAGAATTTTTGGGTTGTATTTTTCGGATGTTTCAAATTGTAACTAGTTTCTAATTAATTTATCAAGCTATGATAAATTAATAAACATTTTATCTCACTCTCTTAAATCTTTTTCTAGCTATTTCAGTTCTTGAGGGCAACGCTAAAAGGACTTTGTTATTATTCTTAAAATTATATCAATTAGTTAATGATATTGTACACTAACTTCCAACAACATGAACAAAGACATTGACATCAAAAACATTTTGTATGTGTGCGACAGAGAGTGTCCAATCTTCTTATGGAAACAACAACATTCCACCATTGAAGCTATGTAAAAGCTTTGGCTTTTTAAGTGTTAGAGATCAATTGAAGAGATAATTGGTACTCATGATTCATTTTTGCTTATGTTTTTTATCAGATCTAAAGAGCTTTGAATTGGGTATTCTGTAGTAAGCTCTTCACTTACAGTGGTGGTGATGATGGTTAAGAAGGAGGAGAAAGAATGGTAGAAAATTTGGGTGTCCGGTGGAATTTGGTGGAGGCAAAGGTTCTCTTTATGAGAGAGAGAGAGAGAAGCGTAAAGTACATTCATACAAGAAGTGTTGCGACGGTGCTAGTTAATATTCACCGGCAGGAACAATCAAATAGAAATACAAAGAAATGAGGGAGTCGATTTGTTAAATGAATGGGGTGGGAGGGGGTAGGGGTGTTCAAAAATATCCGTATCCGAAATTCCGAATCCGAATTATCCGAAAAATCGGATATCCGAAAAATCGGATATCCGAAATTTCGGATATCCGATTTTTCGAAATCGGAATTGGATAGTGCTTTTCAGATTTTTCGGATAATTCGGATATCCGATATCCGAAAATTTTGATTCTAATTTATACATTATTTGTTATTTTAATCACATATATCTTATAATATGAATCTTAGTAACTAAAACATATTCATAATACCCTTAATTAAATACCTATATTACTTTATATGTCTTTCTAATATAAAAATATGTCTTTCTAATCTAAAAAACTTCATATGCCTTTCAAATTTAAACAAAATTTCAAATTTTCGGATATCCGTTTTGGTATCCGATTCCGTATCCGAAATTTCGGATACGGAATCGGATACCAAAAATCAACTATCCGAAATTTCGGATATCCGAAATTCGGATATCCGAATTTTCGGATATCCGGTTATGAACACCCCTAGGAGGGGGGCATTCTTTATTTTTTAATTATTAAATTATTAAGAAAATGGTAAAGTAACATAAAAAAATAAATAAATAAAGTTAAAATAGATTTTGTAAGTTTTTCATACCAAAATCAGAAAGAATTTTTTAATTTTAGATTTTCCACAAAAATTGAAAACTTTTTAACTTTGTCTATAATTTTTTTGAAAATCACAATCACCAATTTTACAGTCTTGTGATTAAAAGTTTCTTAGAATTAATGGAGGACTATGACAACAGGGAAAACATTGACCAAATAAAAAGTTTGAGTGCATTTATGATAAAGTTGTACGGTTTATCAGTTTTAGTGTTATCAATGTCTTGGCAAATAAAAATTAGTTTTATATAAGTATATGTAACGGCAGATTTTAATAATGTTCTTACCAGTTACCAAAACAACATACTAGTAATTAATGTACCATTTTTCTAGTGAAAGGAAATCACAATTTTCAATAACAAAAAATATTGACCCATTATTTTAGGTGAAACTACTCTAATATTAGCTGTTTTTCGAATAAACAGGATTAATTTACCATTTATATTGCAAGAATGGAGGAATCCTAGACTGCATTACAAAACGAAGTACCTTCCATTAATTCACTATATATATATATATATATATATATATATATATATATATATATATATATATATATATATATATATATATATATAATACCTAAAATAAAAAGATTCCAGCGAATCACTTAGACACATGTTATATATATGTTCGCTGTTTTTTTTAAAAGAAACATAGGAAACAAAGTATTTTAAGTTCTCGTCGTTTTTAATATCACATTAGTTTTTTACTTTATATCTATATATATTCACAAAAGAAAATTATACAGAATACTAATAATAAAAAATGATAAAGTATATTAAAGGAAACGTTGTTGTGAAAATGACTATTTTGTCTGTTCTTTATCCAATTTTTTCTTCCTATTTAATAAAATAAGAACTATAAATCCACAAGGAAAAAAGAGAGTCTTTAATTACATCACACGTCTATCGCCACTTTTGAATTTATTGATTAAAAACCACCACCCTCTGAAATCAAAGACGCCATCACGAAATCTGCATGTGTACGCCCACTTCCTTTGTTTAAATCCTCACACGTCCCCATCTCTCCCTTTAATGCATACAAACACGCACACCCCACCCCCACCTCAACAACCCCCCCTCCCCCCTCTCACCTATTATTTTCATTATATATATATATATATATATATATATATATATATATATATATATATATATATATATATATATATATAAACCTTAAAAACTTAAATGGTAAAAATAACTTATGCAATCTTTATTAGAGAAAAATATGGAAAATTGGGTAAGGAAAATTGAAAACGTTATAATCTTTGATTTAAGCTTTATTGTAAATTAAATTCTTTGATTGTTAGATAAATATTTCGAAACAAAAGTATAATATTCAATTAATATTCGTTTATATTTGGAGATACATCTAGTGCATATTAAATGCAACTTAATCTTTCAAAAATATAAGATTCAGTAAATATTATATATATATATATATATATATATATATATATATATATATATATATATATATATATATATATATATATTTATAAACACATGCAACCCCACCACCCCTCCTCCCTTGGTTTTTTTTGTGATAACTAGAGGCCACCCTCTTCTTCTCTATACCAAACCAAAACACATCACATTACAAAAGAAAAACAATCTCTCTTTCGCTATAAAAACACATCAAGTTTGTATTCTTTTTTTAGGCCAAAAGAACGTTGATTTTCGCATGGCGATTCAAGCCCGTTTGTATTCAGACAATCTTGCGTTTCCTTTCATCGGTGATGATGGTGGTGGTGGGAATTTGTCACAAGATTTGATGGAAAACGCGTGTGGTCTAAATGATTTTTATCTGTTCAATCTTCAACAACAACAACAATATCAACAATATCAGCAGTCATACCAACCACCAACAAAGAATCAAGATTCGTGTTTTGAATCCGGGTTTCATAAACCGATATCGATGCATTCTCAATCTGTTGCGGCTCATATTCAAAACCAGAATCAAGAAATTGAAAGGTTCATTAGTTTACAGGTAATCTATCTTTGATTATTCACCAGTTTTTCTATATTTTGGGTGTATTTTCGAGAATTTTCATGATTTAGTCATTAAAAGGGAAAAAAACAATATTTTTTGGTATTCTCAGTCATCTTTTTAGAGAGCATAGTGATTTAGAAGGAAAAAAAACCAGCATGAATTTTTTTTGTGATTTCTACGACAAAAGTTTGATTCCAAATACGGAAAGAAATGTTTATAGTTTTTCAATGACCAAATTAGCTTTATGTATACTATCACTATATACACATGAATATAATGATAACAAACTGTTTTTTTCTTTCTTTTCCTTCAAACTTGAGAATATACACATACAAAAAAAATTTGTAGACGATTTTATAGAAGACTTTCATTTTTAAATTTATGAAGATTAACAAGATAAAGATTGATATTTTTTTAATGCCAAACTACCATTTTAACCTGTTAGATAATTATTTGCACATGAATGACATGATATATAGAAATTATATGTTTTTTTTTCGAATTTGAAAGTACAAAATAATATATATTAGGTGATTTTGTTTATATTTATAATTCATTTAATTACCAAACTACAAGTGATCTATAACATAATTATTTATTCTTAATAATATTATAATAAAAACTAATTAAACACGGAAAAGAAAAGATTCTTGATAAATTTTCTATATGTTTATAATTATTCAATACCAAACTAACCTTAATTTGTTTGTAATTATTCAATACAGAATGAAAGATTGCGATTAGCTCTACAAGCACATCGAAAGCAACAGCTATTAACAATCTTGAAAAAATACGAATCAAAATCCGAAGTATTACTGAAACAAAAGGACGAAGAGATCAGACGGGCAACCACAAGAAGAATCGAACTGGAAGAATTCTTGAGAAGAACCGATATCGAGAGACAAAAATGGCAGATGACAGCCATGGAAACAGAAGCAATGGTGATGAATCTAAGCAACAAAATCGAGCAGTTGAGAGAAAATGCGAAGATAGAGGTTGAAGATGAAGGTTCTTGTTGCCATGAAGAAAATAATATGGTAAACAAGAACACGATGATTTGCAAGAATTGTTTCAATGAAGATTCATGCGTTGTGATGATTCCTTGTAGACATCTGTGTTGTTGTAGATCATGTGATGCTTTTCTGCATTCATGTCCGGTATGCAAGATGGTAAAGAAAGCTAGCATACAACTTTCTGTTTTTGATTCCAATTTGTAAAGTTACTGATATTATTTTGTTTTATTTTTTAATATATGCAAAAGAAAAAAAAAACCATTTTTATATTTTTGGTAAGGTATTATTTATTATGGTTGTAATTAGGATGGTGTAAAACTTCCTACCAACATGTAAAACTGATAAATCGAGTCAAAACCGTACAAAACCTAACTAAGAATGATAATTGATTTTTTTATTCTTTACCAAACCTAATTATCTGATTTAAAATAAATAACTAAATAAATGGCAAGTCAACTCAAACTTGAGGGATTTAAGATTTTAGCATCAAACAACTCCAAAAGAGTTCTTAATATTAGCGATAACCTTTCCTCGTATATTTATATTTATTTATGGATAAAATTTGCATAGCTTTAAAATTAGTTGTATTTTGTTACATGTGTAAGGATGTTGGCTAAAAAGTAACCATGAGTTTCTATCTTATAATTACTTCTACTTTGTATTTTATTTATGGTTCATTTTTACTCTCTCTTAGCATTGTGCTGGTTTTTTAGTTATATATACATAACAAAATTGTAAAAATGTTTCCTTTCGATGTCAAAATTATATGGTTTGGTCCAATAGTGTTTTGTGATGCAAAATTGGTCCAATTTTAAATACATTATATGTTTTCGGTCTAAAAATATTAACTTTAACAGTTTGACTGTTAATTTTTTTAGAAAAATTAATTTTATTTTCTGAGACCATTTCTACAACCAAACTTACAAAGACCATTTATGCATCTCTTTTTTTTTTATCAATTATTATACATTAACTTTTTTAATTAATTTCTTTTTATTAGATTACTTTTTCTTATTGAATACAATTATATATTAATAAGTATTATTGTTAAAATATAACTTATATATTAATAAATATTATTATTAATTACATTTAGTTGCTTATTTTTTAATTTCTATTTAAATAAATTATTTCTTTTTTATTTTAATAAAAAAAAATTTAAATATATAATTTTAATATGATTAAAAAATATTGTTTTATTAGATTATTAATTTATTTTTAATTTTTTTATTGGATTATAACTTATCAATAATTTTTGTTTTGAATAAAAAATATTTATATATAAATTTAATATATTAAAAATAATAATTATTAGTATATATAATCCAATAAAAAATAACTAATCTAATAAAACATAATTTAAAAAAAATTAATAATCCAATAAAGATATCTTTTTAAATATAGAAATATTACATATTTAAAATAATATTTATTAATATATAATAATCCATTAAAAAATAAATAATCTATTAAAAAAGAAATTCAAAAGGAGATAACTAAATGCAATTAATAATCCAAAAAAAGTAATATTTTTAACATATAAATATTATAAAAAAAGAATATTTATTAATATATAATAATACAATAAGAAAAATAATCTAATAAAAGGAAATTAAAAAATAATTAATTAAAAAAATTAATGTATAATAATTGAATAAAATTAAAAGAATATATATACATAAATAGTCATTTTCGTTTGGTTGCAGAAATAGTTCATGAGGGTAAAATCGTTATTTTAATAAAGTTAACAACCAAACTGTTAAAGTTAATATTTTTGGACAAAAAAATGCACATAACCAAAACCATATAATTTTTAAAACCATAAGTACTATTTTTACAATTTTTTTGTCTTTATACATCTTGTCGTTTCAAAAAATAATTTACAGAAATAGGTAAACGTTCATTTTAAAATGGTTATTTTTTACATAAATATAGGTAAACGTTCATTTAGAATGGCTATTTTTTGAGACATAAAGCCGTATTTCTTGTCATATATATACTAAAAAATAAAAACAATAAAAAAATTTATTTTGAATTAACTTCTATTATTTTTATTATGTAGAAAACAAAATAAAATAAAAAATAATTGTTTTAGTAAAATATTTTAATAAAACTTGTTCATAATATATACAATTTTCAATATTCTATAAGAATATTATAACACCTCAAATTTTAAACTAAGTTTTTCATTTTCAAATCATCAAAATATTATTCATAAACCAAGTCATCAAAAACATAAGTGTCAAATACAAATCATCATCACAAAATATCAGAGTATCACAGACTGCCCGAGTAACAAATCTCTTAGTGAGTGTGTACAATCAGACATTTGCCTTCCCACGATCCTTACCCGAAACACATTTATCAACAACTGTAAGCACGAAGCTTAGTGAGTTCCCCAAAATACTACATATAGCACAACATAAATAACAGATATGGGTTACCAGCAACCCTGGGGACTATCAGCAGTCCCAGTAGGCAACAACACGCCGTAGAGGTTATCAGCAACCCTGGAGACTATCCGCAGTCTCAGTCACACATAAACAGCATAATGCAAGATAACAGTTAGACCCAGTTGGTCACCACAAATACAACTATTCTACCATACAGGTAAGAATAAGTGAGGAGACTCACCTGATACTTCTCACAGATAAGTCTCACACCTGAACTGTCGGAACTAGACTCCGTCTAATAACAAAAATAATTAACCCTAATTAATAATTAAGGTCTATAACTTAACTCACGAGTCCAAATCCCACAACTAAGTCTTTTAATGGCAAAAAGACAATTTTGCCCTTCCCATGGTCCAAAACCCTAAATCTTGACCAAAGGTCAAAAGTCAACTACTCAACGCATACGTTGGGCGTACTCTCTCTTACGCGGGGCGTACAAGTCAATCAGCGACCAATCGGGGACGGTCCTAGCTATGTGGGGAATATCCAAGAGGACGTCCGACATATTCAGCCTGGTCCAACTAATCAACTTTTATGTTTTAATCTGTTAAGACACCTATCCCAACTTTAGATCTGACCATAAATAGGGTGTCTTAACCCACAAAGTCACAAACTTTAAGCCTTTGCATGGCTAGAAAAGAACCAAAGCACAAAACTCTAACTCCCATCATTCTCCAAGTCATTTAACTCATGCATGGGCCATGGGAAAAGATCAAGCAACCATTTTTATGAATCTACAAGACCTAATATGCATGAAAGGACAATTAGTATTCTCTGGAGTGCTCTAAACTCATAAAGGTCCAAGCTTTGGGACAAAAAGCTCATAAAAGTCATCTATAGAGATCTAAAAGGAAACTCATCAAGGTATAAACTTTATACCTGAAAAAGATGCACAATGAGGAGTAGTTTCAGGATCTACAAGCTTTCAAGCAACGCCTCCTTCTTCATTAGTCTTCTTCTTCAACAAGTAAGCACCAAAAACAATAATAAGCTCCAAACTCTAACAAAAAAAAGCTTAGACTCGATATTAGGGTTTTAAAGGGAAAGGTGGATGATAAGGAATGTCCAAGGGAGGCATAAGGTGGATTAAATAGGGAGAAAAAGGTTAAAATTAGGGTTTAGAGGTTGGACTAGTACGACGGGCATACCACACATACGCCCAACGTTGATTAAGTTAAGGGATAAAAATGATAATACCTGATAATCGAATATTACAATTCTCCCCCACTAGAATCAGACTTCGACCTCGAAGTCATCCTCGGGAAACAGCTCAGGATAGTGCTCGCGCATCTCAGACTCGGGTTCCCACGTCCACTCCGAGCCCTTCCGGTGTTGCCACTGAACTTTGACCAAGTCCACCACCTTGTTCCTCAAGGTCTTCACCTTCCGATCCAGAATTTCCACAGGCTTCTCGATGTAATTCAGGCGATCATCAGCCTAAATATCCTCCAAAGGAACTACAACTGTTTCGTTAGGTATACACTTCCTCAGCTAGGAAACATGGAAGGTATCATGAATCTGTCTCAACTCCTCCGGTAGCTCCAACCGGTAAGCCACCTTGCCCACCCGGGCCAATACTCTGAATGGGCCGATGAACTTGGGGCCCAGATTGCCCCACTTCCTGAAGCGGATAACACACTTCCAGGGTGACACCTTCAGAAGCACTAAATCTCCCACCTGGAACTCTAGCTTAGAGCGTCGTCGATCCGCATAACTCTTCTGGCGACTCTAGGCCGCCAGCAATCTCTGTCTAACTTGTTGCATAAGTTCGGTCGTCTTGAGCACTACCTCCGTGATCCCCATCACTTTCTGTCCAACCTCGCCCCAGCAAATAGGAGTCTGACACCTCCTTCCATACTGAAGCTCAACGGGAGGCGTGCCAATGCTGGCATGATGGCTGTTGTTATAAGAAAACTCAACCAACTGGAGATAAGAGTCCCAGCGCCTACCAAAGTCAATGATACTGGCACGCAACATATCCTCATGCGTCTAAATAGTCTGCTCGCTCTGCCCGTCCATCTACGGATGATATGTTGTATTGAAATGTAACCGGGTACCCAACTCCTCGTGAAACCTCTTCCAGAATCTGGAAGTGAAACGAACATCCCGGTCCGACACAATCGAATTCGGCACCCCATACCGAGCCACCACCTCTCGGACATAAATCTCAGCCAGTTTCTCTATAGAAGAGCCCTCGCTAATGGCTAGAAAGTGAGCACTCTTCTTCAAACAGTCTACTATCACTTAGATACTATCAAAACCCCTCGCAGTTTTCGACAACTTCATGATAACATCCATGGTGATCTGCTCCCACTTCCATAGCGGAACCTCTAAGGGCTACAACTTTCCATGTGGGCGCTGGTGCTTGGCCTTGACCTTCCAGCAGGTCAAACATCGTTCTACAAACCATGACACATCTCTTTTCATGGCCACCAGTAACTATGCTTCAGGTCGAGATACATCTTGGTAGCCCCCGGGTGAATAGAAAACCTCGACTTTTGGGCCTCATCCATCAATATCCTTCGAGCCCCACCCGCATAAGGTACCCAAAACCGCCCGTGAAGAGTCAGAAGCCCACTACTGTCGATATCAAAAGCTGAAACATGACCAATCACCCGTCGCTTTTTCGATTTTCTTCCTTTATGGCCTTCGACTATGCTTCTTTGATAATTTCAAAAACTGGGGTCATCATAGTCATCCTCATACACACATCCCGAATCGGGGCACTAACCGCCCTCCGGCTCAAGGCGTTGGCCACCATATTGGCCTTGCCCGAATAATATAGAATCTCACAGCCGTAATCTTTCACTACATCC